GTTCTGGTTTAGTTCTGGTTTAGTTCTGGTTTAGTTTCTGGCCATGAGTGAAATTACAAAAAAAAAAAAAAAAAAAGAGGATTTAGTCCAAAATGTGAAAACAGTAAAATCTCTCTGTTTAATCCATTTATTTCAACAAAGTAACTGTAATCCAATGACCAGTCACTGAAACAGTAACTGTAACTGAGTACAGTTACTCATCACGTGTACTCTGATTACTCTGATTACTCTGGTTCCACTGGTAGTAGATGTGGCAGTGACAGTGTGTGTGTGTGCGTCAGGTGAGTTACCTGTCGATGCAGGACCAGGTGGAGGGGGACCCGTCCAAGTTCGTCCTCTGGTCTCGTGGTTCGGCCGAGCGCTTCACTCTTCAGGCCTCAAACGCCGCGGTCAAACAGACGTGGGTGGAGACTATCGCCGCCCTGCTGGACGCACAGAACAACTTCCTCTCAGGTCAGAAACTCATGTGTTTGATTTGTTTATCGTTTATCAGGAGGGTGAGAGTTGTTTTCATGGGGTCAGTTAGTCCAGGTTTAGTCCAGGTTTAGTCCAGGCTTAGTCCAGGTTTAGTCCAGGTTTAGTCCAGTTTAAGTCCAGGTCTGGTTTCCGTGAGTCCGACTCTGGTCCTTGTTGTTGGTGCAGCGCTGCAGTCTCCCATCGAGTACCAGAGGAAGGAGGGCGGCATCTCCGTGACCCGCCCGCTGTCGTCAGGGCGCCCGCCGTCCGCCCCGCCCACTCCGAACGGCCACGCCCCCCAGCCGCCGCCCGACGGTGACGCGGACGACACGGTGAGTCTGACGAACGACCTTTGACCTCTGGTGTTGTTTACATGTGGCTCAGACTCCGTCTAATCAGTCAGACTCACTAATCTTAACGACTCAGGTGATTTATGATTCATGATTTCAAATCTACTGAAGAAAGAACAGCTGATTCTGCTTCAACATGATGTAACGTGTCGTGTCTTCTGCCCTTTAAGCTCAGACGTCCTGTTGTCACAGTAACAACACGTCGAGCTGGTATCATTAACAAGTTGCCGATACGATACATCCCTCAATACCTTGGCCATGATACGATACATATTTCGATACAGTGAATCTCAATTCGATACGATATATTTCAAACCAATTCGATACGGTTCAATAAAAACAAAGGCTAAATCATGTCTGTGACACTAAAAGTCTTTGTTAAACCACTTCTTCTTGTGCAAAGTTCATATGAAACAAAAACATTTTAATCCTGTGAAAATGTCAAATGTGTCGCATGCAAAAAATAAAATCTAGCCAAGTTAAGATGACGTGAATTAAGAAAATTTTACCATAATTTGAGTAAATTCCACTTGACAAGTTAAATTATCTGTCAGTGGAATATGATTTTTTGTACTTAAAATATGAAAACACAACTTGCTATACAAATAAGAAAAACAACAACCCTTAAAATAAGAAATGAAATCGAACGTCGTTTGAATTTAGAAAAACACTTCTTCCATTGGTCGAGTCGACTCAGATAACGTCAAATGTTCTTAATTTTCATTTTAACAAACTTTTTTGCTGTGTGAATGAGTTTCCTTCCACTAAACAAACAGCAAAACTGTAGCCGTAACAAAATTATTGAGTAAAATACACCAAAAATACTCAATACGCGATATATCGATACAGCAGCCCACGATATATCGATATTTCAGTATTTTTGCACAACCCTAGTCACATGGAGCAAATGTACATCTCGATATCTGTACAGGAAGAAAAACCTCCTCAAAAACAAATCTGACAAACTTCACAAGGTCTTTTTTTAGTGCAAAGAGGAAGTTCGTGCAGGAACAAAAAACAAAACACATAAAACAAAACAAAAAAATCCCTGTAAACAAAAATAATAACTTGCCTGTAAAATAAACTATTGTACAAGTTCCACTGCAGCAGATTATTAATTAAAATGTTCTGCGTAAACTTCACGTGACTAAACTTTACAACATATAAACCAGAACGACTCTAGAGCCACATCAGCCCGTCGGACATTAAAATGAGTTTAATTTGTTTACGTTTTATAGAAACTTAAAACCACATGGCTCATTTGCATAAATTATAAGCACTGAAAAAACACCTGGCTCCGTTTGTCCTGATGTGGTTCAGCTTCTGTCGGACTAAAGGACACGACTCAGTGGAGCATGAGTGTCTCTCCCTGACAGACGATGTGCTGGAAATGGTGGAAAAGGTGTTGCCAGAAGCTTCGTCGATTCGATACGGTTCAATAAAAAATAACGGTAAAATCATGGCTGTGATAAAAGTCTTTGTTAAACCATTTCCTGTGCAAAGTTAAGATAAAAATCACCAAATCCGTGAAAATGTCAAATGTGTTGCTGAACTGTTGTGCTGTAACAAAAGAATTAATTAAATAATAAAATAAACCAAAAAATACTCTTGCTGATATATTGATACAGCAGCCCACGATATCGATACTGTAACATCACGTGAAACGATACGATATATCGATATTTCAATATTTTTGCACAGCCCTAGTGGGAGGAGCACAGAAAAAACAAGCAAAGCGGCAAAATCATAATTAAATATGAGCACGATGTCGATATATTCGATATGTCAGAATCCTTTTCTAGTTTAAAAAAAAGTCAATATATTTAAAGTGTCTCAGTGTGGCCCTCGTCTACTAACATGTCAGACTCACTGTGTGAAAGCTTTTCAGGAAAGGTTCAGTAAGTATCCAGTTTCAGTACCAGTTTGAGGATAGATTCATCTGATTTTCGATCTGTTTGTGTGTAGTGTTGTGTATTTATTTTAGTCTCCGTCTCCAGGAGCTGGTTCTGGTGACTCAGGACTTCGTCGCCGTTCGTGAGGACGAGATCTCAGTGTTTCGAGGAGAGAAAGTTCAGATTTTAGCTTCAAACCAGCAGGGCCAGAGCCTGGTTTACCGACCGGCCAACAGCGACTCCCCGGCGGCGGAGGGCTGGGTGCCACGGAGCGTGCTCAGAACACACTGACCCCTGACCCCTGACCCCGAAACTACAGGAAACAAACAAACAGAAACAAACAAAGGACCAATGACAGGGCAAGGGCTGTTTACATCCCACACGCAGCCGCTGGGGACAGAGACGCACCAGCAGACGATACAAGGAGCAACACTAGAGCCTTAACGAAAAGAAAAGATTACACTGATTTTATTGATGTTGAAGCAGGGCCCATGTTTGCTCCTGGTTTAGTCCTGGTTTAGTCCTGGTCCAGGGTTATTTTAACATTTTATTCATCGACTTTTGATAGAAGCAGGTCCGTTTCTAGCTTCTGTAAGATAAAGAGTGTGAAGATACTTTTTAATGCTTTAAAAACGTCCTTATTTATTATAACACAGAAACGGGCTAAAACTTGATTATATTTCATCAGAACGTCAGACTAACTGCTCACAAAATTGCACATAAATCCTCAAACTTACAAAGTTCTAATGGGAGTTGCCAATATTTGAGTCAGTAATTATAATGCACTTAAGACTAAAAACATGCACTTAGATAAAGATTATAGTTAAAAAAGACAGCACTTTTGAAACTGTAGTTGTTTAGTAGATTAATTCACAATAATTCCTCTAATGTGGGACTAAATATGTGAAGTGAAAAATATGCAAAATATTAGTTTAATGTGAATTAAAGTCCAGAAATGCCCCAAAGTCTATTTTCTATTTTACCCCCAGGCTCTGCTCCTTGTATTTTCTGTCGTCCCGGTGCTTTGTCCTCATTGGCCGCTGCAGCAGGTGCTCTCACTCTGACCCCGCCCCTTTCTCTGGATCATCCAATCAGACGCCGTCACCTGTTTACAGCCCGGCCAATCGCAAACGCCGACTGAGGCACAAACTCTCATCCCCATTGGTTGGATGTTGGGAGGTTTGTCATGAGAGAAGTTTGAAGAAAAAAAATAAAAATAAAAATCCTCTTTGTGGACTTCATGGACTGGGGAATCTGCCTAGCAACAAGCGACACAAGAGGAGCAAAGTCTCGCCTGATTGGTCACAAATTTGAATATGGTTTTAATGGAAGTCAATGGTTACGATTAGAATATAACTCATATATTACCTGAAAAAGTGCATAAAATAACAGAAGAATGTGGTGAAATGAACCAAAATGGCAGCTTGTTTCACAGTCAGACATTTGTCAAAACGATGGTGTAGCTGGGGACGTATTGCGAGAGACAATTCCAGTTTGAAAAGCACAATTTAACAAAAGCAACTTTATTGTTTTGTCAAATCTTGCGTCTAGTTCTGGTTTAGTCCTAAAGTACAGAAAATCACACACACTCGTCCACAATCTAAACAACAAACGGATTCTTTCCTTTGGCTTCCGATTAAAACTATAGTAAAGTGGAGTTGACCAATCAGGCGCCTGACTTGTCTAAATCCGCCCAGCAACAAGTGACAGTTGTAAAGAAGAGGAAGCCCGCCGTCCAATCAGAACTCTGCGTGTGAATAGTGTGAATAAGGGACAAAATGGGCGCCGTCCAGTGCGACTCTGACATGAATAATAATAGTTTGTTTTTCACCCGACCTGCAGCAGACGTGTCATTTCCGTGTCGTGTGCGAGAGGCGTGTGCGTGTCCTCGTGTCCTACGTGTGTGTTTTTCACGGGCAGGTGCCGGAGCGGTCGCTTCGTAGGTGGTGGAATCGTGTTTTTAGAGATTTTATAAAGAATCGTTTATTTACGAGGAAAAACAAGAGACCAGAGACGTTGCCGCCATTTTGAAAGTTTACCAGTCACATTTTACTCTGAAATGTGAGTTTTTAGTCTGAAATACTGTTCATGATCTCACCTCAACTGCCATGTTTTTTTTTTCTTTTAAAATTATTTATCATATAATTTATTTGTGTCTTATTTTTTAATTTAATTTTTTTTATACTTTAAATATTTTTTTATATTTTATTGTTTTATTCCTATGTTTGTTGCTTTTTGACTGAGATGTAGCTATAATATTTGTTGTGTATTTTCGTACTTTATTTCCATAATGTCTTTGTCTAATTAACGTCGTTACGTCCAAACTCATTCATAAAATGGCTGCAACCACAACACTTTGTAACTCTGGGTAAAATCTTGTTTTATAAAAAATATAGTTGGAAAATACATAGTTTAATTTAAAAGCATCACTATTTATAAGGTAAACGTTACTTTCTCCTGTAAATAGACCAAAAACATATCCACGAAAACTACAGCGAAAACAAAGACACGACAAAAACTACAAACTCCGCCTACTGTGACCTACTTCCTGTCTGCTGTCTCCACTTCCTGTGTCTCTCTAAAAATGGTCCAGAGAAATAAATGTTTTTCAGATGTAGCTTCAGTGTTCAGAGCGACGGTGGAAACGTTTCTCCTCACGATTGTTTCAAGTCTCGTTTGATTTGACACTTTTTACTTGAAGCGTCTGAAGGACTTGGTTTAGCCTATGCATTTACGATTTATTCACTTTACGCCTGGTTTAGTTTTACTTTAGTCCTGGTTTAGTCCTGGTTTTGGTTCAGTCTTGGATTAGTCTGAGTTTAGTCTTGGTTTCAGACCTAGTTCATTCTTGGTTTAGACCTAATTTAGTCCTGGTTAAATCCTGGTTTAGTCCTGGTTTGGCCCTGGTTTAGCCTCGGTTTAGACCTGGTTTAAATCTGGTCTAGTCCTAGTTTAGTCCTCGTTTCAAACCTGGTTTAGTCTTTGTTTCAGACCTCATTTTAGATCTGATTTAGGCCTGGTTTAGAACTGGATTAGACCTGGTTTAGTCCTGATTTAGTCCTGTTTTTAGTCCTGTTGTAGTCTTGGTTCAGTCCTGGTTTAGATCTGGATTAGTCCTTGTTTTAGACCTGATTTATTCCTGGTTTTAGTCCTGGTTTAGTCCTGGTTTAGACCCTCAGATCTTGTGTCTTGATTCAGGAGAATAATTTACGTATTTTCTCTCAGTCTGTTTATTTCTTTGGGCCGTTTGTGTCTTCACTGTTTTACTCTGGTGCCATTTTCAAACACCCTGGTCCTTAAGAAAATACATCTACACAAAACTCAGCGCAGAGACACGGGGTTCGTACACAACACAACAAAACACAACAAAACACAACACAACAAAACACAACAAACCACAACACAACAGAACCTGCAGCCTGATCTGTGTCAAACCTGATCATCCAAAACACCGATGGACATAAACTCTGTGGAGCTCGACAGTCAAATTTCCGTTCATTTTTCCCACAAACTTTTCCAAAAATGACATTATTAAGAGTTAACGTGTTCACTCATTTTCATAACGTGAAAATCATTTTAAGTCCAAAACTACGGACGATCATTTGTTCCATTAGATTTTGAATTTTAAATAATACTGAATTTCTCACTTTGAATTTTTTTACTTAATATTTTTATTCTGAATATTAGTTGCTGAAATTCTAATCGTTAAAAGTGTTTAAAATTCAAAATCTGATGAAACTAATTCTCTTCCAGACAAAACGCACTTTTAATGAAACATCTTAACGTCGGTGAAATGTTTTAGTAACTCAGCGGTTTGTAAAGTTTCAGAAACAGATTTTAAATAAAAGTTCAGGTTTTGTGCTCATTCGTTTCCTCAGAGCTCAAACCTTTATTTTTATTTATTTTTCATAAAGTCAATGGGAAAAATGAATGGGAAGTTTAAATCTGAGTCAGGTTTTTTTACACATATTTGGTTTAAATTGACACTGTGTAACTTTTCATCTCCTTGTCTCCATGGAGATGTTATTATTGCTTTGCTTGAAATGTTCCTCAGTTTGGCATTAAACGTATCTACATCCATTCTTAGGTTACAAGTCAAATCTGTGGAGAGGGGGGACACTATTTGGATTAGTCTTGGTTTCAGGCCTTGTTTAGTCCTGGTTTAATCCTGGTTTAGACCTGGTTTAGACCTGGTTTAGTCCTGGTTTAGTCCTGGTTTAGTCCTGGTTTAGTCCTGGTTTAGTCCTGGTTTAGTCCTGGTTTAGTCCTGGTTTAGACCTGGTTTATATCTGGTTTAGTTTAGACCTGGTTTAGACCTGGTTTAGATCCTGGTTTAGTCCTGGTTTAGTTTAGTCCTGGTTTAGTCCTGGTTTAGACCTACCTGGTTTAGACCTGGTTTAGTCCTGGTTTAGTCCTGGTTTAGTTTAGTCCTGGTTTACTGGTTTAGTCCTGGTTTAGTCCTGGTTTAGTCCTGGTTTAGACCTGGTTTAGACCTGGTTTAGACCTGGTTTAGACCTGGTTTAGACCTGGTTTAGTCCTGGTTTAGACCTGGTTTAGACCTGGTTCTTGTAGCTGAGGCGTCTCGTTCTCTCTGAGCGTCTCTCCTCTCCACAGACGTGGCCTGTAAATGGATGTAGACACAGTGGGTTTAATGCCAGACTGAGGAACATGCAACACAAAAACTCTCTGATGGATTTCAGTCGCCGTGGAGACGAGCAGGTGGTTGGTCGTGTGGCAGAAAAGTTCCACAGTGAAGCTTTAAGAGAGAAACTGTGGTGTAAAAGTGTTTTGTGTCTGAACCTTGTTTCCTCCTGCGACAAACAAACTCAGTTTTTATGAAACGACTTGGATTTGATCAGATTTATGACTTTTAATCACTGAGTTTCTCACGTGAAAATTCATCTGGAACGAGTTTAAAAAGAAACAAGAAACAGCAGAACAAACCAGGACCGAACCAGGACCAAACCAGGACCGAACCAGGACCAAACCAGGACCAAACCAGGACTGAACCAGGACTGAACCAGGATCGAACCAGGACCGAACCAGGACTAAACCAGGACTGAACCAGGACTGAACCAAGTCTAATCCAGGACTAAACCAGGACCAAACCAGGACTGAACCAGGACTAAACCAGGACCAAACCAGGACTGAACCAGGACTGAACCAGGACCGAACCAGGACTGACCCAGGCTGTGGGCCTCTCCTATGGATAGTATGGAGTCCTAGTTTAGTCCTGTTTCAGTCCTGATTCCAACCTGGTTTGGTCCTGGTTTAGATCTGGTTTAGACCTGGTTTAGACCTGGTTTACTCCTAGTATTAGACCTGGTTTAGATCTGGTTTAGTCCTGGTTTAGTCCTGGTTTAGACCTGGTTTAGACCTGGTTTAGTCCTGGTTTAGTTCTGGTTTTCCTGGTTTAGACCTGGTTTATCTGGTTTAGTCCTGGTTTAGTCCTGGTTTAGTTCTGGTTTTAGTCCTGGTTTAGTCTGGTTTAGTCCTGGTTTAGTTCTGTTTAGTTCTGGTTTAGTCCTGGTTTAGTCCTGGTTTAGTTCTGGTTTAGTCCTGGTTTAGTCCTGGTTTAGTTCTGGTTTAGACCTGGTTTAGTTCTGGTTTAGTCCTGGTTTTAGTTCTGGTTTAGTCCTGGTTTAGTCCTGGTTTAGTCCTGGTTTATCCTGGTTTAGACCTGGTTTAGTCCTGGTTTAGTTCTGGTTTAGACCTGGTTTAGTTCTGGTTTAGTTCTGGTTTAGTCCTGGTTTAGTTCTGGTTTATACCTGGTTTAGACCTGGTTTAGTTCTGGTTTAGTCCTGGTTTAGTCCTGGTTTAGTTCTGGTTTAGTCCAGATAAACCGTCAGACGTGTGTTGGTGAGAAACGAGTTGAAGGTGAAATAAAACCGTGAGAAATTGAAGTTGTTTTTAAAGTTGTGGATCTGTGAAGTTCCGTCGTCGAGTCTAAATCCGTGTTCAGACTGAACGAGTCGCGACGTGAACGAGGCCAGAGATTCATGTGTTCAGCCTCTGTGAAGGTGTTGACACCGAATAAAGTTCTGTGAGGTGAATTGGGCGGCGAAATTCGTACATTTTGAGCCTCGTGAAAACGTCAAAATAAGCGGGAGGAGCTTCGAGAAATTCACCAAAGTTGCAAATTTTGAACTTTCTACAAATATTCGCGTCACATCGACCAATCAGAGGCCGTGTTCTGATCGTGACGTTTAAGAGACAAACGTGAACTTTCAATCAACATGGACGAGACGTTCACTGTTGCCGTGGGAAACGAGACGATATTATACAAGACCAACCTGAGCCAGAGACCAGAACAAAGTCCACAGACTCTGTCCTCGCCTTTAGTCTGGACTCGGTCTCAGTCCTGGTCTAGTCCTGGTCTAGTCCTGGTCTAGTCCTGGTCTAGTCCCGGCAGCGTTGGGAAGTTTACTTTTAAAACATATTCCCCTACAGATTACAGATTACAGATTACTTACCCCAAAATGTAGTTTGTAACGTAATCCATTAAATTACTTTAAGTGAGTAATGTAATCTGATTACTTTGAATTACTTGATATTGTCACGTTTTTTAAAACAACATGAATGAACCAACAACATCCTGAAAACTCACATTTGTTCTCTTCAAATTGGCCCTGGTTTAGACCTGGTTTAGTCCTGGTTTAGTCCTGGTTTAGATCTGGTTTTAGTCTGGTTTTTAGTCCTGTTTTAGTCCTGGTTTAGTCCTGGTTTAGTCCTGGTTTAGTCCTGGTTTAATCCTGGTTTAGACCTGGTTTAGATCTGGTTTAGTCCTGGTTTAGTCCTGGTTTAGTCCTGGTTTAGACCTGGTTTAGATCTGGTTTAGATCTGGTTTAGACCTGGTTTCCTGGTTTAGATCTGGTTTAGATCTGGTTTAGATCTGGTTTAGATCTGGTTTAGTCCTGGTTTAGACCTGGTTTAGATCTGGTTTAGACCTGGTTTAGATCTGGTTTAGACCTGGTTTAGATCTGGTTTAGATCTGGTTTAGATCTGGTTTAGACCTGGTTTAGACCTGGTTTAGTCCTGGTTTAGATCTGGTTTAGACCTGGTTTAGATCTGGTTTAGATCTGGTTTAGACCTGGTTTAGATCTGGTTTAGATCTGGTTTAGACCTGGTTTAGACCTGGTTTAGATCTGGTTTAGATCTGGTTTAGATCTGGTTTAGATCTGGTTTAGATCTGGTTTAGATCTGGTTTAGATCTGGTTTAGATCTGGTTTAGATCTGGTTTAGATCTGGTTTAGATCTACGCTCGACGCACGAACGAAGCAAATGACTCAAAAAAAAAGTGAA